GTGTCCACGATTCCCCGAGAACCGCATCCATAAGTTTCTCGAGGGATCTGCAGCGAATCAACGCGCGTCCTTCGCGGAAAAGCTGCGAGCCGATTGGCTACATGTCTCGCGCGCAACTCGGATCGTGGAAGCAAGGCGCTTTACCTCGCGTTTGTAAAATTTTGTATTCCCCTTTTTCGCCGTGAATCTCTGCGCAACACAATATACGGAAATAGAGGCAAATATTGAATATTAGGGGAGAGAAGAAAAAGAGATTAAATGTAAGATGAAAAAGGTAAAATACAAGATGTAAATCCGGGAATTGTCGTACCTAAAGTATTTATATTTTCGTTTATTAATTCAAACAACATGAATGAAATATTTATTCTTATTCCCAATTCTTCCTCCATTGTGCTTTAAGGCCTATGTTCACGATGCTAGAACTTGGATCAAGTTCTAGCATCGTGGACATAGGCCTTTATTCTTTCTTCCGCGGATAGGCTCTGGCACTCGTAGAGGTCTGCGGGTCTGGTTTAACCTAGAAGTCCGTGGTCAACCTGCGTTAGACATCTGCCGAAGTAGCCGGCTTTATTGAATTCACCCAAACAAGAGGTTGGGCTCCGGTTCAATAGACCAAATTCCATAAGGGACAAGAAAAAGGATAGAGATTCGATTATAAATATATTTTATTTTACGTATACGATACACATGCCAGTGCTGTAAGTTGTCATGGCTGACAGGGCAAAATTTTATAAAAAAAGAAAACCGGGAAATAAAGAAAAACGAACTCGAAAGGTAAAGGAAGCTGTCGAAAACTCTACTGAGACACGTAAGTATCGAGGCTTCCTATAGTTCGCTTCTATCTACATTATTTCTTGTGTTACTTTCTGCGTATATGCATATACTCTAGTATAGAGAAGGAAATTAAATTATATTAGCTTGACAGAAGAAAGTATATTGCACATAAAGTTGTATATTGAATGTAACAGACTTGTATTAAAAATTTTATGTTAAACTAATTATATTATAAATTATTTTAGGCCGAGAGGAGACAAATCATGATCCGGACCGTAGTCTGGACATTGGCCGGAGTGCTGATATTCCATATTACGGATGGAGATTGTTTTTCCCTGATAAAGGTAAGAATATTCTGTGTGTGCGTGTCTGTACACGTATGTATTTCTGAAGAGATTTGGATTTTTAACTCGTGCTTTGTACAACGACAAATTCTTTTTGTACAGAATATAAAGCCAACTGTGCTATCGTAAAGCACATTAAAGCTATAGAAGCCTTCATAGACAGGCATGAAGCGTTATCTTCATTCACAATGGCAAATTTTGAAGCAGAACTGCCTTTTGCCATTGATATACGCAAATTGTACAATAATGATGAATTTATGGAGCAATGGCCAAATTTTAAGGATGAGATGTATGAGGATCCGATAAACGCGTTAAATTGTATAAAACTTGGTATTCAGCAGGTACTACTTTTATTATTACATATATCATTGTTTAATTAGTTGTGCACAAATATTTAATATTGCATGTATGCGCCCCATAATTTTTTTCCTTAATATAGAATTATTTTTATTAAAATGGGACTTTTTGTCATCGGAAATGCACCTATCAAAAAATTTGTATTGTATACCAAAATTATAATGGTACTTCTAATTTTATTAAGCAAATTGTTCGTCAAGAAATCAATAAGACATATCTAGGCGAGATGCACCTTTTAAATGCATCGAAGATTGGACGAGTTGCTGTCAAAATATTAAAAATAAATATCTTATCTCTGCAGACGTTTGTCGCTGCAGTCTAACTTCTCTTAACCCATGTCCAGAACATTTCACATCAAAAACACTCCAGCAATAGATTCTTTTGGTAAAGCTTGGAATATAATCGTTGTAATATTTAGGAAATAGATATAAAATATTTCAATACCAAAAACACAAGCGCAAATTTCTGTTCATCGAGTCTAAGAAACTCGAGCTTTGCCGTGAGGCGATACAACTGTTTCTCACAAATTCGCATATAAATAAATTTTTTAATAGGTGCAATTTATCGGGAAGTTCCACTTTAACAGGGATAATATAGCTGTATATCATTTTATGCTTTTTATTGTAATTGTCTCTGTTATAAATTTCTTCATTTTAGAAACTTTTAGAAACAGTACCGGACAAAAACTTGCAGTACATTTTGAAATCTATTAGCACTTTACCAAACATTAAATTAAGTATATTAAATTATGAACCACTCATATGTTTGCGAGATCTTAAAATAAACTGTTATGGTAAGTACGCATACACGCACAGATACATCATGCACATACACATATAATATTATCACGTATATATTTTTATTTTATACATGTAGATTTTTTGTCAGAAAACACATCTGTATGAATGATAATCCTTAGTTTTATTTCTTCCTTGCGATACAATGACAATTGTTACTTTATGGAAATTATTGCAGGAAAATTAATCTCTACCAGAGGCTGTGTGATAAGAGTTGGTAGAGTAAAATATCTTGCGCAGTGGGTGGTATTTGCCTGTTCCAAATGTCGTCTGCAAAAATTGGTGAAACAGCAACAAGAAATGTATACGCTGCCAAAAAAGTGTGATGTCTGTGGCGTATCGAGATTTTATCCAGTTTTAGATTCGATTTATACAAAAACTGTTTTATGCCAAATAATCAGAATACAAGAGCCATTGAACGATGAGGTAATTTTACTATCTAATACAGAGTATAGTTACATAATCAGAAAATTAATATTTTCTATATAGTAGTAGCAATAAGTGTATCAAGAATTACATATGTTCTGATTTAATCAACTAACAATAAGTGTAGATAAACATAGATGTCATAGATAATATATTTTATACAAGATTTTAATGTTTCAGTAGTTATATCTTAAACAATTCTTAAATGCATTAATAAAATGTCCAATCACTTTGACATAAAATAAAATACTCACAAAATTCTATCTAACATATAATGTACATATAATAGCATTATCTTGCAGGAGAATAAAGGTAGAGTACCCAAAGTACTGGATGTGGAACTTCTGGATCATTTAGTTAATATCTGTATGCCTGGCGATGATATAACACTTATAGGCATCATCCAGGTATTTCTTAAGAAACGTTGAGACAAAGAAAGAGGAAATATTTCTATATTATCTTAAAACACTAGGTTCAAGGAGCCGATGATGGTACAAGTAAAATACAAGTTGGGACTCCATTTTCGTTATATATGAAAGCAATAACGGTTATCAATAACAAACATAGGTATCAAAATAAAAGTTCTATGAGCACTGAAATTTCTCTAAAAAATTATTTGGCTATACAGGTACTTCTTTTTTATTAAATATATATTTTATTAAATATGATAAACTTGATTTTACATTCTGAAATAATATGTATTGTTATTTTATTACGTGCAGGATGTACGTAACAAACAAAATCTTTTTGCATTGTTAGTGCATTCATTATGTCCTAATATATATGGACATGAGATAGTCAAAGCTGGATTAATATTAAGTTTATTTGGAGGTAACGTAAAACGTGCACAATTACGAGACGATATACATATTCTGTTAGTCGGAGATCCTGGTCTTGGAAAGTCGCAGATGTTACAAGCATGTGCTCGAGTATGTGCAAAAGGTATACATGAGAAAACCAATAATTCTTTAAGTTCCTTTCTGTAATATAAAGTCTTATGAAAATGCAATTATTGTTGAAAGGTGTATATATTTGTGGCAATTCAAGTACATCCTCGGGATTGACGGTAACGCTTACGAAAGAAACTGGTTCGAATGATTTTGCTTTAGAACCCGGTGCTTTAGTTCTAGCAGATCAAGGTTGCTGCTGCATTGATGAATTCGACAAAATGTGCTCTCAGCATCAGGTAAAATAACATGGATATTATTTATAATGTAGCAAGTATACTAAGATACAACAAATAAGTGTTACAAATGTAGAAATTGTAATATTCATTCTGGTATTTTAAACAATAATAGATATTAATAGGGGAAAATTAGATTTCTAAATACAGTTTTATAAATATCTACATGATTTTTGCATGGATTATTTCAGGCATTGTTAGAATCGATGGAGCAGCAAAGTATCACTGTTGCAAAGTCAGGTGTAATATGTTCCCTTCCAGCACGGATATCAATTCTCGCAGCGGCCAATCCTATCGGAGGGCAATATGACAAGAGCAAAACGATAACTGAAAATCTGCGTATTAGTCAACCTATTCTCTCGCGTTTTGACTTGATTTTTTTATTATTAGATAAACCAAATGAGGTTAATATTTATTTGTAACTGAAATATTAGTGCAGTATACAGAACCATTGTATATTGTATAATAATGATTGTAATCTGTTTTTTTTATGTAATAGCATTTTGATAATCTGTTGTGCAAGCATATCATGACTGTTCATAGCGGTTCACATGCAAATTCCAATGAAGAAATGATAATGTCACCATCGCCCAATGAATGTACTTTGAGGTAAGAAATAATTATTAATTTTGTCTTATACAGAATATCTAAATTATCACGATATTATTTCTTCCGAAATTATTAAAGATGAGGAAATGTTTAAGTTTTTACAGTTTATTGAAACTTTCAAAATAATAGGACACTATTCTCACTCTTTAAAAAAAAGCAAAAGAAGAAGTATTCAATTTTCTTAATGGATTTGATTTTTTTTATTAACAGCAATAATCTTTGCATTTCTTTACAAAAAAATGTTTTCGGTCGTAACTTCTTAATTATTAGTAAAAATATAAAATATAAAAAAAATTCTCTTAATAAAAGTTAGTAGTAAACAAAATTTATCCAAGAAAATATAAAAATAATTTACATATTCCATTAAAGAAAAAACGAGATACCACCTCCTTTGATGGGAAGTAGTGGTATCTTGTCTCCAATCATGAAAACTATAAGAATCGCAAATCTAATTGCCCAATAAATATTTCAGGGAAAAACTGACGTTACCATTAGCCACTGAGATTATACCACAGCTTACTCTTCGAGCCTATATTTCCTATGCTCGAGAATATGTGAAGCCAAAATTATCCGTTGAGGCTGCAACAGTATTGCAGAATTATTATTTAGAACTTCGATCAAAAAATAAGGAATTTGGTAGTCTGCCAATATTCAACAGACAATTAGAAGCCATGATTCGATTAACTGAGGTTTAGTGGTATTTTTTGTTGCGCGACAAGAGTACATCAAAGTTGAGATGTTTCATATCGTTTTATTACAGGCCAGGGCGAAAGTGGACTTGCGTGTGGAAGCAACTAAATCAGATGCGTTGGAAGTAATAGAGATATTGCAAAGTACAATGACGAATACAGTAGAAGATTGTTATGCAATGCCGACATTACATTCTGATGGCAAGTTGACAAATAAAAAGGTAATATATGTATACATGTTTACATTTATATTGAAATGTTTAAATATCTGTAGCACTTCATATTCTTTATTTCCTAATTCTTTTCTGCAGATAAAAATATTTATAAAAATACTGGAAAAGAAGGTGAATGCAGATAAGGGACAAATATTTTCAGTGAAAGATTTGGAAGCGCTTGCAGCATCTGGAAATATTTTAATAAATGATTTCACTATGTTAATTTCAAAATTAAATGAGGAAGGTATTTTATTAAAAATTAGGAAAAATACGTATAAATTTATTTACACTTCATAATACAATGATGTTTATATAAATAATATAATAGAAAGTATGTATGGAGTATGTAAATGTAACATATTGTGATACTAATTATGCAAAAATAAATATTATAATTTTATTTTCTACATTTATTTACTTCTGTTTTATAACTGGTTTTCCCAAAAATGTTATATATTGAAATATGAACATATCGTCGTATCTTTACAAAAATTTAAAGATAAAAAATGTGCGTATGTAAATGTATTTGTTTTAGGTATGTACACCAATACACATAGAATCAAGACTATTGGTAAATTAAACTTAGTTGCTAGGAAACTCGATGTTTACGATAAATTAACAATCATGTTACTCGAGCAAATTTTTAGCCAATACTGCTAAATTTATGTGCAATTGCTAAATTTGACGTATATTTCATATACATATCACATAAAATGAAAATACAAATGTAAAAAAGAGAGGAAAAAAACGAAAAATCTAAAAGAAGAAAATTTACCGAGTGCTACAGAATTTAGAAAAGAAAATGCCTTGCGACGGTAAAAACCGAAATTGTGATAGAAGACGCGACTTATTAGCGCAATTAAAATGTTTAATCAGCTCAATGGATAGGAAGTAAGATCGTATTTGACTTGACAATGAATAATAATAAATAAGTATGTGTTTATCAAATTTATGTGTACGTTGTGTAGGAAACCGTGTGAATGGGACGAGCCATCTTGCCCACCTATGGTATACTGTCCCACAGACTTCTGTTCACCTTATTGCGTAAGTGTCTAATGTTAATTTCCATTACAAATATTTTGCTACATTTTTCATCATTCCCTCCCTTCGAAAGATTACACATACACAGTCCTTAACTTTGACTAACAATAGTTGAATCTTAATGTCTTATTTATTTTACATTGTTTGAAATTTCACATTGACAAAATATTTTAGGGTCCTGTCAAACCATGCAAGTCCTTCGACTTTCGAGCGAGTATAATGTACAGATGCGAATGCATCAAGAGGAACGGTTTACAGGACAGATGCATGATGTGGGATTGCATGGGTAGACCAGAGTGTATGACAAAGCTGTATCCAATTTGCGGGCCAGGTCGTGCTGCATTATTGAAACTGACCGATTTGGGCGACATAGAGATTGCCCTTAGAAAATTCTACTGCGCGGATCAAGCCAAGGAGGCGGCTCTGGCTGCGTACTGTAGATTAGCCTGCGACAAAGCTCGCCAACAACAGATTCTATCGTGTAATAAAAGTACTGAGGCTCTTTGCGCTTCCACGAGGCCCACTGCAACAAACTGCATGTCAAACATCGGAAATTATTTAAACAATGATGAGCCAGCGTGCCTCGACGATTCTTCCTATCTGTTTTGCACGCCGTCGCCATGTGTATTGCAATCTTGTCAAATATGTCCGCCTTGCAAATTAGAAGAACCACCTCTTCCTGTTATGCAGTTCTATTAATCTATTTTTGTCTGCCTACCCAACTCGCCTATTTTCTGTACTTTACTGTTTGGTAACTTAATTCTTAAGATTTTTATCGTTACTTATCCTATTATCTCTTCTGGAATTTGTTATATTTGGAAATATATTAAGTCATTGTCTTAATTTTTGTCTTTCATTTGTCTTTTATCGTAAAGTGTAATAGAAACTATTTTATAAAATATGTAGTGTTGTGCAGCATCCAACGAAAAAAAGAGTTGGATAAGAAACGGAGGTATTTTCTGTATTCATAATATACTCTTTATTTTCTTAGTTTTTTATTCTCGTAGAATTATTATTTGCTATGTAGACAATATTAATTTACAGCCAGAATCGCATTTTTTTTATTGATTAAATAGATATGTTGGAGTATATACGGATCGAATCTCTTCTTTCTATTGTAAGTTATTTGAATGTAACTCAACTAAATAGAGACGTACATTTCTATA